CATCCTTTTGTGCCTTGTTTGATTTTCAATGAGCTCATACCAAACCATGTGACATATATCATTACCCATTGTTGTTCAATGCCTAGTTGGAGATGCAGTCCATGTGGATAGAAGCAAAGGCAGAGGGGAAGCCTATATCAGGCCGTGACATTGTTGAGAAGGTCCTCAAGAAAAAGGTGAAGTATGGACCGAAGGAGAACCCAAGATCAGCAAAGGAGCTTCAACTCCAAGCAGAATTGGAGGCAACAAGGGCTGAAGCGGAAAGAAAAGCCAAGGAGTTTGCTGAGAAGATACAGAGTCATGAGGAGCAGCTAAAAAGCCAGGCTGAGAAGATACAACTTCAGGAAGAAAAGTTAAAGAGCCAGGAGGAGAGGTTGATACTCAAGCAGAGGAGATGAACCAGATGAAAGCCGCCCAGGACAAGCTACAACATCAAGTGCTAGTGATTGCTCGCCAATTACCCCGCAAATGAACTGCTAAGTCCAAGGTAACAACACTGCCTTAGTTTGCAGAGGCAGATGAGACTGCAGGCTAGGTGTTGGTGTTAGAAGTATGTTAGTTTATGCTTTTGTGAACAAAGTTATCATGCTTTGTGTTGTGGTGAACAAGGAGTTTAATGTGTTGTGTGATGTTGGACAACATTGAATGTTTGTTTATGGTGAACAAGGACGTACTCTGTTATGGGAATGGACATGGATGTAATATGTTAGATGTTTTCCAATATATCTCCATGTTCAGTTTGCAGATAAAATTTCGCATTATGGAATTTGTTAAGTAGGTCAAATGTGACAACAATGGAAAGTTCTCAGACAAGTCCATGACGAGCTATACTCGTCATAATAGACAAAAATGACAAATTATACTCGTCATAATAAGGATTTACGACAAAAGGGCCACGTCACAATTATAAGTTATGACAAAATGTGTTCGTCCTAATATACTGAAATGACAAAATATATTCGTCAGATACGCATTTATGACAAAGAATATTCGTCACAACATAATTTATGACAAAATAAATTGGCACAACAATGTGATGAAAGAGTATAAACCCAGTAATATGCCTTCAATTTATGACAAAACATGTTGACAAACTTTTCAGTTTGTCACATTATAATCATTTCCTGACAAAAAACGGATTTGTCATATTAGGCTTGTGACAAATTCTGAACCTCTCATGACAAATATTATTCGTCACAAAATACTGTTATGACAAACTATGATCGTCTAATATGACCAACAAATTTCTCAAAAGTATCAATATATGACAAAAATAATGACAACAGTTTTCGTCATATTATCTTTGTTTGTCACAATAGACTAACCAGAACCTCAAATATAACGGAAGCATATGTGACAAGTGTGTTTCAAAAATTTGTCACATTTGACCTATCCTGACGGCGATAAAATGACAAAACGTTGTGACAAACACCTTTGTCATATTAAGGCAAGTATGACAAAATAGGTATCTAATACGACCAAATGGCCCCGTCATAATAGGCCGAATTTGTTGTAGTGACAAGACCGCTAATTAGAGAATGACGTAGAACCCAAGTAAAGATAAGAAGATACCTTATGAACATAAACCAACCTAAGTAGTGTCAATTATCGTTGATGAAAGATAACAAGAAGATTAAGGAACCGGCCGCCTGCCCACAACTCATTAGGTATATCCGATGCCCTCCAAGTCACTGCCTTTGTCATATTTGTATGCTAATCTATTGATTTGAACGTCAAAGTGCCTTCCCAGGCTCCAAGTCATTGTCAATGCCCTTCTCCAGTCTAGTTGGCCGTGGCAAGTTATGGCGTGGATTTATTTGATGCACCATATTCTCATCTCTAACGAAGTAACGATAGGATTAAGGTGACTTTTGTACCAAGATCAAGGAACAAAAATGCTGGTTTGGTGGAAAAAGAGGCCTCTAAAGGATCGCTTCCTGTGAAATTAATCACATTTTTATTTAGTGTATCATCTTTTGTAATGCCATCGGTTGTACATTTAGTTAGTAATTTAAAGAAATTATGAAGTTTACAATTTTATGTTTTTTTATAAAGGTGATATAGGTTTTAATTTTTTTTATCAAAGTACTAATTAAGTGATTCGAACCTGAGACCTGCAGGTTCTACGCTAACGGTATTACCGCTAGTACAAGCCATTGTTCGTACAATTTTATGTGTTTAGTTACTTCATTAGACTCAATTTAGTATTAATATTGAGACTAAGACAAACGTAGGAAAATAATGGGAGGAATAATGTGGCATGACGAGTTATGAGAAAAATGAGTGAGAAAAGGATATGAAAGCAATATTGACAATAAAGTTTCGTGTACGAGATGTACGGAAATAGAGAGGGAAAAATATGTACAAAGTTAGCCTATTTGATATTCAATCATACATGTTTTTCAATGAAATTATTATAACAACTGATATGATGGAATCAACAAAGAAGCCACTTAAAGTTATTTACTGTTTTAAGCTAATTTTCATTGTGTTGCAAACTACTGTTGATGACAACGGATGAAAATAAAACTAAACATGTTTTTAGTCTCTCGCTTTTCCTATGTGAAAGAAAACAAAAAGTGGAAACAATACTTTCTCATCATATTTGCTTGACCAAGAATAGGTGTGATCCTCCTCGTTGGATTCCATGACCAAGTATACCCAATCGAATGACCTCAAACCTCGCTTCATTAAAAACTTTAACTATGAATGACCTAAATCATCGATGAGTTTACAGTCATCTTCTCTTAAACATAAATAAAGCAATCCAAATTCCTAAACATGATCGTGATGCCTTGAGAAGTAAGTTTTGTCTAGTTAAAAGAATATTGTTGGGCGTGCTAGTTGTACCAATTGCCTCGAATAGAAATTAGAAATACTTTACTCAAAATAGCGATCAACTCATTGCAAATTTTAAGATTATTCTAATAATATATGCATTAAGAGTACATATAAAATGAAATAATGTTGGGATTCATAGTTGGATTCCAACTCTCCCCACCCACATAGCTAAGTTCCATAATACTCTCCACTACTTCACACCATTATCAAAATGATTTGTGATGATCTTATACTTACTAGTGAACCTCTTAATATTCCCACACCAAAATGCTAGACAAAAAGAACAACAATAATCAACAATCCCATTCCTCCCTGCCCATGGAAAAATCACAAATGAAAAAGAAAACAAATTAGTGCTCTCCAAATCTTCCATTGATATTCTATCCTGATTTGAGTTCACATTTGGTTTGTCCTCAGTCTCACCTTTTTTCCCCACTTTGTTCTCGTCCTAGATAAAATCTGCAACTATAACTATCTTAATTAGAAGGTAAGAGTTCAATAAACAGAACATATACAAACTTAACACCTTAAAGTTATGACGAGATGATAAATTTTTTCTAATGAAATCCCTCCTATACACACCTATACAACACACAAATCAAAGTTTTTGCACAGATTTTGGAAGGGGGTTTCACATTCTTGGTGCTTCTTTTCTCTTCCATGTAAAATCCCTATGAAAAGGAGATAAAGAGAGCATTACCAAACTTTATACATAATGGATTTCCTCGAAAAAAGAAATACCAAACTTTAAACCGACCCTAAACTATAATAATAATAATAATGCTTTAACCAGAAAAGCCCCATCCTAATCACTTTTGAATTAAACTAATTACACACCATATATACTAAAAGTGGGATGAAGATGAACCCACATCATTCCCTTATCTTGCCTCCTCACTTTCATCTCATTGCATTGGATTTGGAGGAGCAGCAGCAGCCACCTCCACCCAAACACAATACCCACACATGTGCTTAGAGGGTGCACCTACAAATGTACTCACAAATCACTAGAACTTCTAGAAGATTGTTGAATCGCGCATTATCAGTTCTACAATTATTAGAAAAATGTAATAATATTTTATTTACAAAATTTAAACTCTGTCCATCAAAAAAAATCATAAAGCGTCCAACGATAATTAATACGCCTTTGTGAACACTTTCTCCCAAATAGAGCACTTTGTCTTTAACATTATCCCCTGCATAATTCTTTACCTATTGACTTGTATTATGTTATGCCTATAAATATATGCATAACCAAACGAGGAATTATTGTGTACTCCAGGAGTACCACGTAAGCAAGCTGATTTGGTACTCCAAACAAATAGCAATCCGCCACATGTCCTGCCTGTTTCATTTAATTTACTACTAGATAATTTTTTGGGACTTTTGATTTCCGTTTTTTATTACCTCCCATTAATATAACAATCGAAGCTTCTCTCTCCTCTGTCACCGTCTTTATTTTCCGTTGTAGAGCTGTCGGCGAGTAATTTCACTCTTCCTGCTTCATCGTCTTCTCTCGTCGTACACAATCGATTCTACTTTTTAGAATCTTCTCCTTATTTTTCCAGAACAAGACTCCTTACTCCTTAGCCTTGACATAGCAGGCGCTAAGAACTCCCTGATTTCAATTTTCGGGGCTTCCAATTTCAATCAAACCTTCACCATAGTAGTTCCTCATATCATACGCACGCACTGACTGTTCCCTCGTCAATTGAATCGATTTAGCAGACAGGCGTTTAGGGCTCCCAAACATAGAAGACGACGGTTGCTACATCGGAAACTCGAAAGTCGAAACTATGGAGCAGGACACGCTCTAGAAAACAGAGCAATGGTTTTGATTTATTAAAATTTATATTTTATTAAAGGTAACACGGAGAAGCCACCGGAGGAAACAAAGGAAGAAAGGAGAGGAGAGAGAGACTTTAATTATTCAATTAATTGAAGATAATAGTAAGAAGATGAATTCAAAATCCCAAGGAAGTTACTCCTGCAATAAATTAATTAATGAATCCGAGATTAAACGTGGCGGACTGGAATTGGTGGGGAGTACCAACTAAGCATGTCTACGTGGTACTCCTGGAGTATTGAATAATTTCTCAAACGAAATACCCAATCCACCTCCCATTTCGTCCTTAAATTCCTCTCTCTCTCTCTCTCTCTCTCTCTCTCTCTGTCTGTCTTCTTCAAAAGCTACATCAGTCGCACTGTCCTGTCCTCTCTTACTTCTCCATCCTTCCTCTTCTCAAAGGGCGTTTCTTTCTTCTCCACGAAACGTGAACCACGTCCCTGTTTCCCCTTTCCCCATTTCTGCCTTTTTAAGCGAAAGACTACCCATTAGTCATATTACTTCGGGCCGGTTCCCCTTTCTTCCTCTGCCTTTTTTTTTCTCTTTCTTTTGAAACAGGGGAAGGGTAATTGTTTTTACAGTAGCCTCATATTGTCCATGGCGGGCGGCGATCAGAAGATGCAGAAGAGCTACTTCGACGTGCTGGGGCTGTGCTGCTCGTCGGAGGTTCCACTGATCGAGAACATCCTCAAATCCCTCGAAGGAATCAAGGATGTCTCCGTCGTTGTCCCCACCAGGACCGTCATCGTTGTCCATGACAGCCTGCTCGTTTCCCAGCTCCAGATTGGTAAAAAAAAGGCTTCTTTCTTTCTTTCTTTTAACTTCCATTCATTGATTGGTCATTGGTGTGTCGTTCTGGTTTTTGTCTGCGTTGCTTCCACTCCATTTCTGGGTAATGCGTGAGACGAAAGGGAAACTGTAGAGTTGAAGAGTAAAGGCGAATTGTGTAATCTGTTCTTTTGTAGTTTTACTTTATTACTAAGGCTTTTGCTGGTGTTTGCGTGGAGGACTAGCCTTCTTTCTTTCTTTCTTTCTATCCCAATTCAATTCCCATAAACCATATATAGTTTCCACGCATAGCAAAACCACTAAAACACAGCCTGGCTACTAGTAGAATGCGTATTGGTGTCATTATGTGTCAGTTTGTGTTGTTCTCCCCTTTTATGGCACTGCTGCAGCCTGCAATACAGACTGTTCATGATTGGGAATTATTTTCATAACGTTTGTATTTTGAGAATTTTTTTTAAAAACATGTGTAACTTGGGATTTTTTCCTCGAATTTAAGTCGTCGACTTCTCGACGAAACGTGTATGTTATCATCCTCACATAATCACGAAATTATATTGTGATGTGCGGTATGACATGATGTGGGGACACGATAAGATGGGCAAAGCTGAAAGCCCCCACCATGGAAGAAAGGAAATGTTAGGCTAGAACTAGATTATTAAATGGGAAAGTTACGTTACGTACGTCGACTTCCATCTTCGTTTTTTAATTAATTAATTTAATTTAATGTAGTTTATGTGGTAGGCTACGACGTAAGCTAACTTACTAGAATTATAGGATTCTGCCTAACATTAAGTGTTTGTTCTTGTACATAACATCTTTACCGGTCAACTTCGCAATCTCGTCGGTTCTTTAATCCAACGATCTCAACCTATACTTTGGCGAGTGAGTTTTTGGCTTGAATTTCTGATTTGGGTCATGTATGTTATGATGGTGGTGCAGTTAAGGCGTTGAACTCGGCCAGATTGGAAGCGAACGTGAGATTGGACGGTGCCGCCGGCGGCGGGAGTTACAGGAAGAAATGGCCGAGTCCGTACGCGATGGGGAGCGGGGTCTTGCTGTTGATCTCGCTGCTAAAGTTTGTGTTCCCGCCGATGAAGTGGGTCGCCGTCGCTGCCGTCGCCGTTGGGATCCGGCCCATCTTGCTCAAAGTCATCGCCTCGATCAAGAACTTGAGGCACGACGTCAACGTTCTTGTCCTCATCGCCGGTAAGTGCATCTGCTAATTAATTATGTGTGAACTTCAAGATGGGTAAACAGAATCTGCAAAAAAAAAAATCAGAGACAAAAAAACAGATGAAATATCGGAATCTCATAAACTAATCTGGTTTTACTAAGACAAACTTTCTCATTCATAAACTAATCTGGTTTTACTAAGACAAACTTTCTCATTGGTCCTCTCCACTTGCCCGTGGTCGTATGTTGACCAAATCAAACCTGTATCAAAGATCTGGGGGCTGGTACACGAACATGGGCCAATCAGAAGTCGACAGAATACTAGCTGTCTCCCTTGGTCTTATCTAATAATTCAGGCCGCCTTCCAAGCATGTTGGGCGCTTGCTTACTTCTACCACTTTGCTTTGTGTGCTGTCTCTGACCATTAGAACCAGGATGTCCTATCGTCAGCCACCCTTATCTTCAGTCACCATCATTGGATTGCACGCTTCGCCATCTAGCAATCATTAACGAATTAGGATGTCATACCTTAGATGATTAGCACAATCCGCGATCTAACAATCATCATCGAGTTCGAATATCCTAGCGTCGATGAGAAGTCGAGATAATAACCTGCTTCATCGAAAGATTCCAACTTGATAAAAGTAAAGGGCAAGTACATGAGTTCACGACTTCACGTTCAAAAAATAGGCCCAACTTTCACTACAGTACCCTTTTACCAGTATTTTTCCAAGATGCGTATTTGAAATGGTAGGCCTGCGTATTTTTTGTTCAATTTGTCTCACATGTAATAACCGAATTAACGTATATGTGCAGTGATATCAACGATGGCCCTGCAAGACTACACGGAAGCAGCCACCGTTGTTTTCCTTTTCACCATTGCCGACTGGCTCGAGTCTAGAGCAAGCCATAAAGTAAAGCTATGATCATTCTAATTAAACCATGTATTATTAAGTGAAGGGTTCAAACTGAGATTGATGGACTCACCTCGTTTCACAGGCCAAAGCAGTGATGACTTCCTTGATGAGCATTGCACCTCAGAAGGCCACGATAGCCGAGACAGGGGAGGAAGTTGATGTCGATGAGGTGAAAGTGAACACGGTCGTGGCTGTCAAGGCTGGCCAGGCAATCCCCATCGACGGAATGGTGGTGGATGGGCAGTGTGAGGTCGACGAGAAGTCGCTGACTGGAGAGTCGTTTCCGGTTCCTAAGCAGAAGGATTCGACCGTCTGGGCTGGGACCATTAACCTCAGTGGCTACATCAGTGTGAAAACGACAGCCCTGGCTGAAGACTGTGTGGTGGCCAAGATGGCTAAGCTCGTTGAAGAAGCTCAGAACAGCAAGTCCAAGACGCAGAGGTTCATTGACCAATGTGCTCAGTACTATACTCCAGGTATGACCCTATTGAATCACTCGAAAAGAAGCTTAGATGCGTAAATCATTAAGCTAAAAAATGTAACAAAATGTTAACTGAAACAAGAATCGTAGCTATTGTTGATTTTGTTTTCTCCTAGCAGCAATCATACTGATATCAGCAAGTGTCGCTGTAATTCCTCTGGCTTTGAGGGTTCACAACAAGGACTACTGGTTTCATTTAGCACTTGTAGTGCTAGTGAGCGCATGTCCATGTTCTCTGCTCCTCTCCACACCAGTCGCAACATTCTGTGCACTCACAAAGGCTGCAACTGCTGGTCTCCTCATCAAAGGCGGCGATTACCTCGAAACCCTCGCGAAGATTAAGGTTCTTGCATTCGACAAGACAGGTACCATCACGAGGGGGGACTTTGTTGTTTCAGATTTCAGGTCTTTGAGTGGTGATTTCAGCATGGAGAAGTTGGTTTACTGGTAAGCAAGCAGGTGGCATGCTTCTCAATCAGTAGGAGATATAGACAGAATAATCATATAGTTTCAGAAAGTGCACCTCTCAATGAAGAAACAATGTTTAATTTCCCAGGGTGTCGAGCATCGAGAGCAAGTCCGGTCATCCAATGGCAGCTGCACTGGTTGAATATGGCAGGTCGATTTCGGTAGAGCCCAGGCCTGAAAATGTGGAGGAATATGAGAACATTCCCGGTGAAGGCATTCACGGAAAAATTGATGGTAGAGAAATCTATGTAGGAAATAAGAAGATTGCTGCCAGAGCTGGTTCAACAACTGGTAAACAAACCAAACATTTACCCTTGTTCTGTAGACGATTAAACATCTTCAATCATGTTTCTTCACACCCTTAACGATTCTTTTGCTCTATGATGCTGCAGTTCCAGCAGTTGACGATGGTACGAAGGGAGGAATGACAATCGGATATGTCTACTGTGAAGGAACCCTCATTGGCACGTTCAATCTCTCTGACAGCTGTAGGACCGGGGTGAAAGAAGCTGTGAACGAGCTCAAGTCAATGGGGATAAGGACTGCTATGCTTACAGGAGATAGTCAAGGAGCAGCCATGCACGCTCAGCAACAGCTAGAGAATGCTCTTGATGAAGTCCATGCAGAGCTTTTACCTGAAGACAAGGCAAGGATAATTGGAGACTTCAAGAGCAAGCGAGGGCCCACAGCAATGGTGGGAGATGGTGTGAATGATGCCCCTGCCTTAGCCACTGCTGATATCGGTATTTCGATGGGGATTTCAGGTTCTGCACTTGCTACGGAAACTGGACACGTGATTCTCATGTCGAACGACATCAGGAAAGTTCCAAAAGCCATCAAGCTGGCCAGGAAAGCTCATAGGAAGGTGGTTGAGAATGTTGTCTTTTCAATCTTCACAAAGGGTTCCATCCTCGCTTTGGCGTTTGCCGGTCACCCACTGATCTGGGCTGCTGTTCTCGCTGATGTTGGCACTTGTGTCATTGTTATCCTCAACAGTATGTTGCTCCTAAGGGAGAGCCATAAACATACTGCAAGTCACAGCCACAACCATGCTGCAACACACAGCCACAAAGACAATCATAAGGAAAAGAAATGCTGCTCGAATCGCAATACTGAAAAGGCATGCCACTCTGAAAAGACTAAATGTTGTGGACCAAAGAGCCAGGCTAACCTTCATACAGCAAAATCTTGCGAAGATGCTAAGTGCATGAAATCAACAACCTGTGGTGGTAAGAATGCAACTGAAGATTTGGAGCACTGTCATGAAGTGCAGACAAACAGTCATCACAATCATGGGTGTTCAGGAGCACATGAGCCAACCCCGTGCACTGGCACAGGGCATTATGAGTCTGAAAAGGCATGCCACTCTCAGAAGACTCAATGCTGTACATCAAAGAGCCAGCCTAACCTTCATACAACACAATCTTGTGAAGATGCTAAGTGCATGAAATCAACAAGCTGTGGAGGTAAGAATGCAACAGAAGATTTGGAGCACTGTCATGAAGTGCAGACGAACAGTCACCACAATCATGGGTGTTCAGCACAAAAGCCAACCCCGTGCACTGGCACAGGGCATCATGAGTCTGAAAAGGCATGCCACTCTCAGAAGACTCAATGCTGTACATCAAAGAGCCAGCCTAGCCTTCATACAGCACAATCTAGTGAAGACTCTAAGTGTGCTAAATCGGATGGTTGTGGAGGGAATGATGCAACTAAAGGTTCTATGCACCACCATGGGTCTTCAAGTACTCACGAGCCAAGCTTAAGTACTTGCACGGGGCATCATGAGAGTGAAATTTCAGTAGAAGTACATGGAAGCTGTCGGAGAAAGGACGCCCTGCTTGAGCCAACACACTGCCATACTGCACATTGCCAGACGGTTACTCGTGGTGGCAGTGATCTCAATGAGTCAGCTGGTGATCTGGAAAAGGGTGAAGCCACAGCCATCCATGGGGATTGCCACTTCATCCATTGTGATCATGTTGACATTAATAGGAACGATGTTCCATTACAGAAAAAGAGCACTGCAGCATCCAATTGTTACAGCACAGAAGTCAAACCTTCCATGGGTTGCTGTAACAGCAACAGAAACCCTTCTGAGAGCATCCATTGCAGACAACTCAGTTCTTGCCATGATGCAATTTCAAACACCCATCATTGCTGGAGCTCAGAGCAGAGGGAGATTGACAGCTGCTGCAAGAGCTACATGAGAGAATGTTGCAGGAGAAATGGGCATTTTTCTACTGGCTTAGGTGGTGGTTTATCTGAAATAGTCATAGAATAGCTATAGCTTAGTAGATAAAAATACTAAAAAAGGGTAAGATGTTAGGTCTGCTTAGTTTGGAAAGCAACTAGTACACAAACAATAGATTTTGGGAAACCTGTAGATGGAGGAGCCAATGGATAAAATCAGACTTGCCAAAAGCTTGCAGTGAACAGAGAGGTGGGTAGATAATTTACAATAGATGTTGGCATGAAGTCAATCCATGTGTTTCTTTCAGTAAGATGAAAAGAAGAATGAAATGCACAAGGTTGATTCAACTAGCAATCAGATATCATGTCTCTCAAGCTTCATTTACTGTCAGCTAATGCTCAAATAAATTACAACGCCATGTATGAATAGACCCCCCAATGCTTGCCACAAATCCAATATAAAGGAAGATAATTCAGACTGCCAGTTCACAAAATCAATCAGGATGTCACGTTCAAGTGGAATAACCAATTGTAATCCAGAAAACGGGTTCGTTGTCACATGCAAAGATGTACTAATAGGATCTCCACATTTAGCTCTCCCCGTCTTCAAAAGCAGGCAGGCCCCAAGGCTGTGGATTGAAATCCAACAACGAGCTAATGACTTGATCTGCATCAGCATGATAAGAGACATCGAGCCTTGGATCAGGAACCATTACTGCATACCTGTAACAGAGTTTCCAGAAAATGTTAGCTTAAATACAACAACCCAACAGGTCTTACCAAATGTAAAAACAGCTTCACAAGGAGCACATACATTCCAGCATTCTTAGCAGCAAGAACACCTGAAGGAGCATCTTCAAAAACAAGAATATTTTTGGGGTCAAGAGTTCCACCCTGCGAAATCAAGATCAAACAAGTTTTTAGCTTGCTTGCATACTACAATGTTTCTTGACCTCGGTTCAATGCAAGAATCAACTAAGAAGAGAACCTCGAATCTCCTTGATGCAGCGAGGAAAATGTCTGGTGATGGCTTTCCTTCTTTAACTTCTGGATCATCTCCTCGAACAATGTGATGCATCAACGAGAAAAGCTCCCTGTGCTTTGTTGTCTTTAGTTCAAAATGACGAGTATGAGACCTGGAAAGACCATACATCACTTTTGAACATTGCAGAACTTAGAAGACAGTACACTCCACAAAAATCAACCCCAAATATTCAGGACATTTACCCAGTTGCGACACAAATTGGGATTCCTTTCGAGTGGAGATGCTCGATCAAACGACTAGCTCCTGATTGATAAGTCATTCATGTTAGCGAAATGAAAAAGAAGGGGCATGTGGAATGAACCTGGCAATGTAACAACAAAATGAAACAACAAACCGTACCTGGCATAAGCTCACTATTTGGAAACATACTCTTCAACATGGCCTCTCTTTCAACGATGAAGTCCTCAGCCGAGAGAGTATCACTTATCCCAGTTTCCTCCACGAACACACGAGCTGCCTCTATTGCTTTCTTCCCCATCATTTTCGGCTTCAGATTCCAATCGAATGTTTTGCCATATCTCGCCAGTATGACCTCCTGGACTTCCGTGTAGAAGTTCTCCGTGTCTGCAGAAACCCCCCATAAACAGCTGACTCCTCAGTTGCAGAAGCAAGTAATTTCAAACACCAACACGGGGAAATTCGGAGCCAATAGGAATCTGGGTTGGAATTGGGATTCCATGAATACTGGCATCTTAAGAGCTGCAATTGGAATTCGAAACCAGATCTACGTACAAGCGAAGGTGTTCGACGAAATTACCGAGCAAGAGGCCATCCATGTCGAAGATCACGTGAGTGATGGGACCTTTAACGTCGGCGGGAGGAGAGTCGGAGGGATTTCCCATTGCACGGCGGAGCTTGAGTACGGTTCTCGGAGGTCTTGGACGGGGAGAAGTGGCGATGGCAATTGAAAAGCGGGGAAAAGCAGAGATTCGCGGGCTCTTGGAAGATGCTATTGAGTACAAGGAATTGGGCCGGTTTGACCAAATCGCAAGGCCTGCTGCCATTGAGAATGCCCAAACTCAATCGACCCAGAAACCAGGCCACATCTATATCGAGAGAAAACTCTTCTATTTGATACCATTCTGTATTGATCGGTCATAATTGTTGAACCAAATACAAGGGACATAACCAACCCAAAAGGCCAAAACACACGATTTTGTCATGATTTTGTTCAAAAACGATTTCACAAAGCATGCAAAACTCTCGAGAGTATCAGTAAATTCTTCTTTCAAACTAAAGGTCACTCAGCCTAGCTCGTGCACTTCTGCAGATGAGTTTGCAGCAACTTGATGCCATCATCACATGAGGAAAGAATCGAGGATATGATCCTCTTTTGTCCATCTTTGAACTCAACAGACAGCTTGACGTCCCAACTCCCATAATCCTCACTGCATAAGGTAATCAGAGCAAACGAAAACTCAGCTATAATGCCATGCGTATTGCAAATTCTCATTGGTATCAAAAGCTCAAAGCTTTACCTGTAATCTGAGTTTGTGTCGCCAAGATTATCCATCATGCTGTTGAAGGTGGAGATCAGGTCTTCAAGGACCTCGATTTCCAGTTCCATGTCTTCCTTTGTCTGAAGGTTAAAAATGAAAGAATGGAGGACAAAGTTCAAACCACGTAATTATAGCTTAGGAGGAAAAAACCAACATGGCCAGAGATTCAGCACTTTACAGTTGCTGTGGTGGTAGGCATGTGATCACGAGCCTTTCTCAAGTAATCTAGCAATGGAGTTGGCAAGCCGTAGTGGAAGATGCCATGGTTCTTTGAGAACCAAGTGCCTCGCACCATGTGAGTGGTCCATGGGGAATCATTGGAACAATCAGCCTCACCCACGTCGATATCTGGAGGAGAAGACATGGACTGTGATGCCATATGAACAAACACGATGTCACGCATCGTCTTTATGGAGTAGTGCATTGTAAAGCTAAGTTACCTATTGGGATCACATCATAAGGATTGTCTCCTAGTGGTGAGAAGCCATAGAATGTGATCAAATGCGAGCTCGACAAATTCCCATAACTGAGGCAGCATTGCTCTCCAGCCAAACAAGGTCTCAACAGCGGGAACTTCAATGTATTTGTTGCACAATCTACTTTACCATAGTGAGTAATGTGTGGATACAGCTGCATAATCGATCAACGAACAGAGCTTCTCATTGCCGTCGGACAAAATAAACTAAGGATGGGTGAAAACAGGGGGGCAAAGATATTACTGAGTGATTGAGAAAGCCGGCAATCGGTATCAAGCAAGTCCTCAACTTGCCATCAGCAAACATGATCTTCATACTGTTGGAGTACCACAATTCGCAAGCCCATAAGAAATTCTCCCACGTATAATGCTCGGAGGGAAATGTGTCAGGATTGTTGTTGCATAGAGCAGGGACCAGCTCCTCGTATTGAACACGCAAGTGCTGTCCACAATTTCATGTTTATCAATAGCTGGTCATTTTTCCATATTTTCATCAAGTTCAATCAAGAGTGCAACTAATAGATAACCTCTTTCGCTTGCATTATCTCTTCAAACAAAGTGGTGTCATCCAAAGCCATCATTGCATCGACTCCAAAGCTCAGTCCTAGAGGGATTTAACATTCAATCGTAGAGGAATTAGCACCAAGAAGAAGCTAGCCTTTAAAGACGGCAAGCATAAGTGCTCTATCGAGTACATATAAGTATAAGCAATAAGCAAGCTTGTTCTCCAAGCCTGGACAAGTAAACCGTATTTAGGTCAACCAATATCAAGAACTGTTGGTGGAAATTACCTGTGTTGAACTCTTTTGGCAATGTATCCAAGTAAACCCTGAATTTTGAGTTGCAGTCATGCCTTTCTTTCATGCTCCACAGCAACATCATAGTCTCGACAGAAATCCCCTCAATGCTCTCGAGTATTTTAAACTGCAATGGAGCTTAAGTAATAACCATTCACTGAGCCAGGTGGCCAGCAACTAATAATAAGAGCATAACCTTCCCATACAAGGCACCATACCATGTCAGATTGGCGAACAAGTTCCTCAGATATAATGAGAGAGACAGGAATCTCCAACGCAATGTCTCCAATTCCAAGATCCTTTTTCGCTATGGCTCCTCTCCCAGCTCCTTCAATCACTATATGGAAGTGGGTAAAAAAGGGACGAGATAATCATATGCACCCATCCCTTTAATCAAATAGAATGTAGGTTCAAAATATTACGGACTAACATGCTATCTCCAAGCTTGTCTTGACACCATTGCTAACACCCCATTCAACCAACTGGTATTCTTTAGTAAGACCCTCATAATTTCTACCGACTCTGGACTCAACTAAGCTCTTCTCACCGCACTGCCGTGTTATCCCGTCCTTGATTGCATCTCTAAGGGCCTGATCTTTTAAGGATGTATGGTTAATTAGGGAAAGGATTGAATTGAGAGCCTCCACTTCGTTCCTGGTACTGCAGAATTCCACTGGTCTACTTCCATCGAAGTCATTGAAGTAAAGCTCAACCTATAAATTCGTCCACCCAATTGAATTAACGACGAAGTCTCCAAAATCACGAACTACCCAAAATGCAGAATCAATGAAAGATGCTGAATTTCGTCAGTGGTAATTACCTCGTCTAAGTGTATGATTCTTGCTACTTGGAGCAGCTTCTCCAAATTAGCAGCAACTGAGTCGGGACAAGAAGAAGAATACTGAAGGTTTAGCTGTTCTCTAATGCCAAATCCCCTTGCCTGCAAAATTTGCTGCAAAACAATAGCAATAAGATAGCTTCATTCATGTCCATGGACACAAAGGAAATAACTTTTCTACAGCTTTCATGAGGATTACCTTCTTTTTGTCGAAAAAGGGATCATTTTCGGACAGCTGGAGAAGTACTGTGCAGCTCCCGTTTTCTCCCGCCATGAAGTTCCCGGCGAAAAGAACAAAATGGGAGGCAGAGCTTGAGTTTCGTTACGGAAAAAACCAACCGGCATAGGAAGGCTGCGGCGCCGGAGCTTAAAGGACTGAGGAGAAGAGTGGAAAGAAGGAAGACGTGGGCCGTAATGGCGGGAGATTCAGGAGCGAAAAAAAACAGGCCCAATAACTTGTCTACGCACATCAGCGTATGTGCCCAAGCCCATTTCAAGTTTTGCTGTGCTGACCCCCGTTGGGTCCTTGGCCCGCCGGTGGACTCGTCGTTTGTAGTGGAACGTCCATCTCGCCGGCCGTTGACTTGGACTGAGTCCGATATGATCAGCTATTAAGCTGGATACTTTGCCAAGTTGCCTGGAGATGGTAGGAAAGGAAAGAAACGGTTTGCGAATTGCGATTGACAACGATTGAAGTTTTGTTCCCGGAAAACGATTTAACTTTGTCCCATCCCTACAATAATACATCCACTCTAGAACATTTACATGTCTATGAACCAGGTTAGGAAACCCCTTAAGAGAAAAGTTGATGGCCACGTAGTATTTATCAATAACGTACGGACTTTTGCTTGATATTGTACGTATGTATCGTATTGGTTGTAGACATTCCAAAATGATGAGTATAATATGAAATGAAATGCAAAAAATATTGAATTGATTTTTAATTGTATTGATCGGTATCATATAGATTGGATCGCATATTGAATACCCATTTTAAATCATTTATCGTGATTTCATCATCAAATAACATATCACACCAATATGAATCTAGATGTATTGCACCAAAACACACAGATAAACCATGAGTGTCTCGTAAATATATCATTTATGTTTTCATCACTCATCCTGGGTTGTAAGTAGACCTAAGACATATAACCACATTGCATTGAAGACAATATTCAATGGGATTTGAAAATTCCACAAAGGGCCAAGTTGGCATCTCTGAAGTTTCTCCATCCACCATTAGAAAATTACAGATTAGTCCTTATTTGGCATAGCTATGCGATTAACTAAGTCACCTCCCCCTTTGCAAATTCTTTGGTCAATCCAAAGGCAAAGCAATGATGAGCGCAAAAACAAACAACACAAAAAACTAAAAGAAGATAAAGGAACAAAGGAGTCAAAAACTTAGCCTAGAAAGGGTCTTGGCTTTCCTTTCAATCCTTTTGCCCCCTTGGTTTCATGGAAGTTGCAAACCATTGTCCAAGTCAACATTTGGACTTCTCATTTAAACCATTCTTAATCATTTGTCCTTTAATCCCCAACTTGGCTATTGCATGCATGTTTTCAATATATATATATATATATATATATATAATAAAATATTGCACACAAGACCAAGATTGGAGACAATATTAAAAACACGAATTAGTATATTATGAAAGCATTCGTTGTGTTTAAATCGTTTACCATCTCAAACTGAACTCAAGTCTCAAACAACCGATAGAAAGTGCTGTCATTTGTTATGATTGAAATGAATATAATTATTTAATAACAAAGTTGAAATATTATATTTATCATCATCTAAATACCAGTTTGATCATAAATCCCATGTTAACATAGTACATAGGAACATGCATAAATGAATTTATTTATAAACAACCCCCCCACAGAATCTATTTTTCCGTAAACATAATTCCTAAATATTAATATAGATAATTCATAAAAAAACATACTTATCATTTAATCTAGATTAGTAGAAATATTAAGAAGAAGAAAAAGATAAATATAAGGGGAGAAAAAAACAGCGGGCATTGGGTCTCCCTTCCTCCTGATTCGTTGGGGAGTTCACCCAAGGGCCAAGGCCAATGGGACGAGAGGAAAGGGTTCCCCACGCGCTCATCAAGTGGATGCAAATTGCATTACACGCAGGGTCAAATGTATGAAATGGTCACTTAACTATGGGATTACTTACAGACCAGTCATCTGATTCTTTGGTACAAAGCAAAGTGGTCCTTTAAGGTATCATTCAATAACAAAATGAACGAAATGGAACCGTACTGGCTTTGATATGATGACATCGCTTGTACGATCCTACAGGTACTATTTCACAAATACTTTGAATAACACATTATAGAATTTGTTGTTCGAGTTGATATGTTAGAATAAATTTTTGAATATTATGCATCTTGCATTCTTGCACCATGGGTTTTTTTAACCCATTTTAGGTTCAAGTTACCGAAGCTAACGAAGAGGTCACTAAATTTCATGGATATGTAATAGAAATGCCATTTAGACTATTATTATGTCTAAAAAATCGATCACACATTAGTATTTCATTTTTTCGTAAACACTTCATTTACTTTTCTGAATAGGTAGCCGAATCTAAGGCAGTATCAAGCTGATAAATATGAGGATTTCTGGATAATGTCATGTGAAAGTTGAATTCTTTTGAATTAGTAGTTTCAAAATTGTAAAGATTATTTGAAAATTAACAATCATTTCACTATTTAGGGTAGTTACGAGTATGCCAGGTAATCATTGAGTGAATTAACGAAAAAAAATATAACAATCTTTCCTTCTTTCGTGTGTATCAATTTGATATTTCCTCTTAACCCTCAACAACTTGATGGCCATTTTATAAATCACTTCAACTTCAATGACCATTTTGCAAGCCATAAATTACTCTGTAACCAATTGGTTAGTAGCCCAACACTTAAGTGACCATTACTTCATTTCCGCTGGCAAAAAAAAAAATTACCAAGTAAACAATTCGCCGGCGGAAGACTTCTCCCTTGCTTTCTTCCTCTTCTCCCTCCCTCGCTATTTTTTGTGTTTCTGTTTGGACATCCAAATTCCAAAGCCTAGGAGGAGCCAAACAACGACTTCCCACTACGACCCCACCTTCCTCTCCTCTTCTCTCTCCCTCTTCTTCATCTTCTTAGTTCTTCCCCCCCTCCTGGCCTGCCCTCTTCTGCCTCTCCAGATCTTAACAGCCTGTCCCTCTTCAGCTTCCCAAGTTCGGATCTTGGCCAATTTGGAGATCTACTGTCGAACACAAACCCAGCTCACTGATTCACTCATTGATTTCTCCTCCCCTCCTCTCTCCTCAGGTACTCATCGAATTTATGATTGCTGTTGCTTTCTCTTCTTTACTGTCCAAGTCGAAGTCGCCTTTCAATTGGGTTTCTTCAGTAACAACTGGCAGTGAATGTGACTGCTGCTTCGTTGAGCTTCGATAGCGTACTTTCTGGATTGAAGCTTTTGCCTTTCTTGGGATTTCCGAGAAGGGGGATTTCGTGACTTTCGTTTGAGTGCTAATGGGTATTTGGATTCGGTTTGACTTTGGCGGCGCAACAGTTGGTGGAACACTTGGGAAATTTGGTTCTCTCTTTAGTTGGCAGAATTCTTGACCTGAAATCAAAGCCTTCTGCTACCTAATGGAATATCTTGCTGTCCGTTTTCTGTTGCTTTAGGTTTCTGGATTCAGTGAATAAAGCCTCCCCATTTATTGGGTTTGGCCTGAAAAGGGTTTGTTTTGGTTTGTTTTCAAGGATCTAAATGGGTGCTACTTTTGCTTTTCTGTTCCCAGGATATATTGCTGACTGAAAGGGGGCTGCTTCACTTCTTGGGCGATCCCTGAGTTGCATCAAGTTTTTAGGGGTCATTTTCAGATATAAATGCCCGTTAGTGGGATTTGATTATGAAGGGAGGAGCTCAAGGGTGGCGTTTTGGAATGGGTGATGTACAGATCTTCCCTGGACCTCGCCACCGTGCTCCATTGAAGAGGCCCGTATGGATCATTGTCTTGGTTTCTATGGTCAGCTTGTTCCTGGTTTGTGCCTACGTTTATCCACCTCAGAGTGGCACAGCTTGTTACCTCTTCTCTTCCAGAGGCTGCAAGGCTTTGTCCGATTGGCTGCCACCTGCTCCAGCTAGGGAATTTACTGATAGTGAGATAGCTTCACGAATTGTAATTAGGGAGATCTTGAGTGCCCCTCCTGTCAAATCTAAAACATCTAAGATCGCGTTCATGTTCTTGACTCCTGGTCAGCTGCCTTTTGAGAAACTGTGGGAGAAGTTCTTCAATGTAAGCGTTTCTCTCCTCTCTTTTCTTTATACTTTTCCTTACATCTGAGCTGGTTTGGTCAACTGTTGCATTGACACTAGTTGAATTTTTTTAGATCCAACGGCGTTTTCTGTATGCCTGTTTCTAGGACAAATGCAACTTGTATGGGTGAACTATTGGATTCAAATCTCTCTTACCATACCTCATGATATCAACCAGCCTTGCGACTGTTAGTCTGAGGAATGAACCAAACTGCCTTAGATATGAGATGACATAATGATGATGGGATTACCGAAATAGGGTGCATGGATTTTTGTTTAGTTTCTGGTTCTTTTATGTCTGAAACGGGTTCATTGCTATGCTCGCAGGGTCATGAAGGGAAATTCTCTGTTTATGTCCATGCCTCCAACAATAAACCAGTGCACGTGAGCCGGTATTTCGTTAATCGGGACATACGCAGTGAACGGGTATTCTACAGTTACTTATCCTAAAATAAAGTTTCGTTCTTTAGTTTTGATGCTCTCTGTGAACTGTTTGTGATCTTTTTCTGTTGGAAGACTGAGAATATCTAGTTCTCTGTAGATGAATCATTTGCATGATTTGACCGCCTGAAAAGTTTAGATCCTCTGTTATTTCACATTGCAAGTTGAACTCTCTGGTTTAAGGTTATGCATTCTTCACTTGTTTGTTTCTTCACCTGTTTTGTGATTGCCACAACTAAGGCAATTGACGAACTACAATAATAATTAATTTTTCATATAGTGAAGCTGCTGAGCAAGTTTAGGAGGTTCACACTTGCTGACAGAAGTATCCAATCTTAGATTCAAATTGTAAATGAAAAAAGCAGCTCACTGGCAACAACCTGATTTTAGTCATGTTAGGTCACTATAGTTGATATGGATCCTCTATAGGTGTTTTCCTTTTCTCTGATGGTAGGTTGGCTTATCTGAAGCTGTCTATCTCTATCGATACCGTAATGCTAGGTCATATGGCCACATATTTTGAGCTGTACTGCTAGAAGCAGCCTTTTAATGACTTGTTATGAGAATCAGAGTACTAGACAATGTGAGATGTGTTCTTATACAAATAGTTGGTGATCTGATAAATGACTAATTTAGATGTGCTCTACTATTTTCTCAGGTGATATGGGGAAAGATATCGATGATTGATGCTGAGAGACGCCTTTTAGCCAATGCTATGCAAGATCCTGACAATCAGCATTTTGTTCTGCTCTCTGATAGGTAAAATGACAGGGTGCATTTCCCCTGTGATTATATGGCCACAAAGGATGAAGATAGCTGATTTTGAGTTTCTAACCAACTCTCGTGTTTTCTAACATTTCAGCTGTATACCATTGCACAAGTTTGACTATGTCTACAACTACCTGCTGTATACAAATGTCAGCTTCCTCGACTGGTAAGTGGGTTCCCTTTGAGCCTTCATCCAAATAGGAATGAAGTTCAGGCATGTGTTACACATGGTTTCTTTCGTTTTTCTGATCTATCTTTTGCTCTTATTTTCAGTTTTTATGATCCTGGTCCTCATGGCAATGGCAGATATTCAGAGCATATGTTACCTGAAGTTGAAATAAAAGATTTCAGAAAAGGTGCACAGGTATACATTAATTAATTCTGGTTGACACTTTTACCAATGTTGTGTCCATGGCACCCTGAAGACTGAAGAAAACAAAATTTATTTCATATCTTCCACCTCCCATTTAGAGAATTTTTACATCTGATCTCGGTGAGTGTTTCAACATATCTATTGGCATGACACTCAACCAATGAATTCTTTTGCAGTGGTTCTCAATGAAGCGGCAGCATGCTATGATAGTTTTGGCTGATAGTCTTTACTACTCGAAATTCCGCGACTACTGCAAGGTACTATTTGGAGACCGTTAATTATTTTTAAGTCTTACCTTCTTTCACGACAATGACTTTACGTCAGGTTGTATACATCTATTCTGCATTGATTGAAAAGCGGATTTCCCTTTGCTTTCTGCAAATACAAGTTATAGGCTGCATGAGTTGTGCAAAATCGTATCTTATATGAGTTATTGCTCATTGTATTCATAGCCACTTTTTAGATCAGTGGTGTTAACTCATCTTTTCATGAAAACTACAGCATGGCATGGATGGAGGGAAGAACTGCATTGCTGATGAGCACTATCTGCCAACCTTTTTCCATGTATGAATCTTCACAGATATATGTTCTGAAATTCATTAACCTCATCCTGCATTCCTTCTGATTTGTGTAATAAAAATCACTGATTCGGAACTCCCTTTGATGATTTTTATCACATCTATGTCTCCAGATGATCGATCCTCAAGGAATTGCAAACTGGTCAGTAACAAATGTTGATTGGTCCGAGAGAAAGTGGCATCCAAAGTCATACAAGGCTCACGATGTCACTCGTGAACTTATAAAGAATCTTACGGTATCGTCTTTCTTCCGATGAAGCACATGTGAATCTGCTTAGAATGCCTTTTATAGCTTGGATACATTCTCTTCCTTAGCGGCATTATGAATTATCCATGGATGTAACTGATAATTACCATACTCTCATGTTTATGCAGTCAATTGATGTCAGTGTACATGTAACAAGTGAGGAAAAGGTAAACTACTGAAGCTCTTTCATTGATCTTTCCCTTTGCCATTATTGAAGTTGGTTGGTTGTTTGACTAGCTTTCAGCTAACATATATATATGGTTCTCGGTATATGCAGAGCTTGGATGTGGATGAGCAGCCATGCATATGGAACGGGATTCAAAGGCCGTGCTATTTGTTTGCGAGGAAATTCCATCCAGAGACTCTCGATAATCTGCTGCAACTCTTCTCTTCCAACTATACAGCCAGATGAGTGACATAGTTTTTGACTCTTTTAGAAGAATTCTTTGGTTGGATGAATCAGTGCTTTCTTTGAAAATTGATACACCTCCCATTGAAAGAAAAAGAACTCTTGTGTATCTTAAGAAAAGGGATTTCTAAGTCAGCCCCTCCAGATGAAAAGCAGCGGTTGGATTTCTTGATTCATATTAAGCTAAGGGGAGGATAGTGATGAGGAATATAGTTCAGAGTTATGGTGAGAAGGCAATGGTGCTGGCTAACAGAATGTTTGGTGGGAGAAATAGATGAGGAAAATTGGCTGCAGCCTTTACTTGTTCTCCATTTTGGGCTATGGACCTTTTTCTACATTGGGTATAGTTAATTTTTTCCAAGGGGGGTACTTGAAATTTGTCCTGAAAGCTTAGTGTTTTGGATCTTCTTTTCTTTCTTTTCCTGGTTTTATTGTAAAAGTTGGAAAGGACAGCTCTTTGTGAGGTTGGAAATACAACAGTTGGGACTATCCCCTCCCCCTTTCATTTTGGTAAGAGGAAATATCAGTTTAGCAGCAGCCTTCAGTATGACTTGCGGTCTGTTGTTACTTCTTTGTTGAATTTATTTCCTGTATTTGCTTTTGTATGAATATGAACAACTAGAACACAGGGAGAGAGAGAGAGAGAGAGAGATTAACATAGGATTGGGAAGTAAAGAGATGGAATGACAACAATGAGAGCACCATGCATGGAAAACAACACACAACTCCTCTCAAAATGAGATAAAAAGGGAAAGACAACAACAAAAGAGAGACCATCACTCAACTCATCATGTTAATGTTTGTTTCTCTTGGACTCCTTTTTCACACCTTTCTTTTCCCCTCCTTTGGCTTATGTTGGATGCTTGGTTGCATGAACTACATGCTCATAGGACTTTCAGGATCATTAAGAGATGCAATTGCAGCTTCTATTTTATGTCTCAGTTCGTCTTTTTCCTCTTCTTCTGCCTGCAATAATATAATATAACATAAATTCAATCCCTTAAAATTGAGTTCTCTAGTTCAATAACATATTCCGGCTAGATCTCATCTTTGCATAAATACAAGTATTACATCAGTGAAGGTGGGCATGCAACAATTCGCACCGTACTTAACCGGATTGAATCAAGATGGATCTAATAAAAGTAGTATACATCCCTTCAATCTTTGGAAAGTATTTTCGAATTTTAGATTTTTATTTGTCTCACTTCCATATATGAATTGAATCATCTTAAAACAACAATAACAAAAGTACCATATCAAACCAAATAAGCTTATATGAAATAAGATATTAATTTAATTCTATTTTTTTTTTACCGATGTATGTAAATTGGATATGCTTCTGGACCAACTCGAAGCAAACCCACTCCTTTCTTTTATATGAACGATGGGTTAGTACACAAATGTGAGAGGTAAGACAATAATATTAATATACGAGCACATTGGGTAATAATATGTTTATGTTTCTTTAATACAATCGAATCTTGTAAATCACAATATAGCCAGCTTTCCCACACTCCAGCCGTGAATTTGGGAGAACAAGAGACTTTACAAGATTCAAAGGGGAGGGCCAACCCCTAGAAATTGACAGTATTATTTTTTTTATCCATCAATTCATACACTAATTAATTATTGTTTTTAATGCCACCTAATTGTTTATTACTTTATCATACATGTTAAGTCACAGAAGCTTTTGAAATAGTTGTGCTAAAATTATTATGCCACGTGGCCCTTAATCTTTCTACCGATCTTGCCATTAATGCATAGTTGGGCATCCAATGACTTGGACTAGTTGTTATCTAGTGCACTACATTATTTAATAAAATCTTGACAATGGTTTAGGGGTGTTGATTTCATTGATTAACTATAATCAGGGTAGGAGACATGGCGATGTTGATATTTCCCCTACTCCCCGTAACCCTTTTATGATAATACATAACCACTTAAAATTAACTTAATTAGTCTGAAATTTGATCAAGCAAAAAAAAAAATTGCAATCATGCTACTTATAAATTAAGAATAATTAAGGCTTCACTTCACTGTTAATAGTGTTCGCAATCATATACAAGGGATCCAATGATGAAGTCAGAATTTACAGTAAGGGTACTAGAAGAAATAATAGGTACGATCTTGGTTGAAGAGGACTGATAGTAAGGATATCTTCCTTTCAATTATCAATGTTTGTTTTTCATATGATCCACAAATTAATTCAAAAAAATTTATAGTCCATCCTGAACTCTCTCTCACATAGCTCCTCCACTAGGGGACCCTTTATCGAAGCTAACGAACGTAAACACACAACCTAATGTATACCGCTCATAGGCAATGACGAAACCATGTTGGGCTACGAGTAAGGAATGCTAAAGAAATTATAGCAACTTCGGAAAACTGAATGAGTGAATGTAGATTTTGAATGAATGATATTAATATAATAGCTATTATAAATATTTTATCGAAGAAGAATGGTAATTCCACTACTAGATTACACGTGGCTCCATCGTTTCGAAATATTCTGTAGAATCAATAAGATTTTGAAACAAAAACAAAGCTGCATAACAATTTCCATGGCACCCAAAAGATTAGAAAGCTAGGAGAAGGGAAAGTGGAGAAAAGGAAAAGGCTCATGAGTAAAGCTAAAGCATATTATCGAACAAACATCAGGCTCACTTTCTTTTTCCCCTCTCTGTAGCTAATCTTGTTGGGTTCCTTCGAATTGTATTATTCAAAGACTCTGGATTGTCATCATTGTCAATCCTCCTTTCTATTCTAGAGAATTTTGATTATATATTTATAGGATATGGTTAATTAATTGGTCTTAATCATCATCCTCTCTACAAAAATGATTAATTATAAAGGAAAATGATCTCTTCCAGCTCAATTAGGATCCATGTTTGATGATAACCACATACTTAATATATCTTAATCATACACAAAAGAAACACCACTCACCTCATCAATATGAATTTAAGTTTACCGAATATTTGTAAATAGCAAAACAATCTCGACCATTTGAGTCGCATTATTTATGATTATAAAAATGAAAAAGATCAATAGAAATTGTGCCCCACTTCTATCACAATGTCGGATCTTACGAACCAATTGATAAATGTGTACGTATGATCTTGTTTGTCTCGTAGCTAGATAATCTATTGCCTTTTTTGGTGATTTAATTTATTTTGTGTACTTGATTGGAAAACTTAATTAATTTGTCGTTCATCAATGATTAGTACTGAGCAGCCACTTTGGGATAGAACCTGAATTTGTTGGCTGGATTGAACTCAATAACAAAGTTGCAATCCAAACGATTAAGGTATTGAACATGTTTGAAAGAGAACTTAATTACCTGTAGAAAATGAAGGGGAAAAAAAGGGATGTAGTGGAGTTGTGACTAACCTCGATGAAGACAGTCTTCAAAAGATGGCCGGAAACAACAGTAATGTTTGCGGTGATAATTTTGAGCTTCAAAGATTCAAACAATTCGCATAATCTGGCCACCGTATCCATTCTCTTATTGCATGTCAAGCTCACCAGCACTATCCTCTCCCCCATATATGCCACCCTCAACTGCTGCATATTGCAAACATCAAATTAATTTCTCTTTTTTTTTTCACGTTGAATTAATAATAATAATAATGATGATAATAATAATAATGCATGATGAGTACGACAGAAAAGCATACTTCTAGAAGCTCAATGGGGGGTGAAGAGGAGGAAGATCGGATGGATCCGCCGGAGGAATCTTCATAGGATTGGTCGTTGACCTTCTTCATCTTCTTCTTGGATCGCAACAGCACCGGAAGTTCATCAACCTCGAAGTCGTAGATTCCGTCGGCGACGGAGCAAGGGCTCATCTTCTTCCAGTACTTGCCGCCGGAGGATTCCATTTCCAGCTCAACTATCTCCGCTTGGATCCTTCTTTCCTGCTCCTGCAGCTCTTGGATGTAATCAATGGCGTCCTTTATTATTGACGCCTTATCCATCTGCCCATCATCATCATTAACAAACTTTAAAACCACGTACCACTTGAAATCCCCTTAATTATGCTGTTTTTAGTTTAATTTAATTTAATTCATTGTTGTATCCAATTTCTAAACCATACTTATAAGTAGTTGATGTAATTATTATGAGTTCAATTGATTATACAAAATACCCCCTACCTACAAAAAAAAATTATAAGAAATTTGGAAAAATATGCATATACCCATCACGAGTTAATTAATTAAACTAGTAATAAAAAGGGGGTAATAATGATGATAGTAATGGGCCAGCTGCAGCTTGGAGACTAAGGTGGTAATGATTAAAATAATAACCAATAATTAAGGGTCACTATTAATTACCTTACTGATGTTGGGGACCACCGCCCTGAGCGCAAACAGCCTCTCGTTCAGCTTCTTCCGCCGGTTCCTCTCCGAGACTATGTTCTTCGACGCCGCCGACGAAGCTGCGCCGTCCGGCGAGCTCGAGTCGTAGTACCCGGAGAACGCCTCGTCCATCCCCCAGCTGCCACGTCCGGTGAGACTCAATTCATGATCTCAATTGAACCTCTCCCAACGACTCCAACTAAACCGAAAAGGAGAAAGGAAGAGGGAGGGGAACCTGTCGAGTTCTTGGTTGTGGAGGAACATTTTGGTTTCCCAGTAGTTGTGGTATTCTTCTCCGATGCTGGAGTCAATTAGTGGTTCCATCTTGGCGTTGAAGCTTCTCTTTCTGCTTCCTTCCTGAAATTCCTTGCTTCTGTTTTCGGTTTTCTGGTTGAGTATGTTTGTTGAGTTTTTGGGAGAAGGGGGTTGAGGCCATGGGGGAAAGGGAAGTGGCTGTGGGGGGGATTTTATACTAAAGAGAAATAGGGAGTGGGTACTTAATTCACTTTTGGGTGCACTGGAGAAAAGGAAACACAAAAGGAGGAAATATAGGTGGGAGAGTGATGTTTATAATTACAATTATTTATAATTGAAAGGTGTAGGGCTTGTTTGGATAGACAGTTTTTCAAAATTAGAAATTTTGATCAATATCTCTTATATAAAAACCAGATGTTTGATATGTGAAATTTGGATCAAACATTATTTGTGGAAGAAGATTTAGGTTTTCAATAGATGGAAACCAAATACAATTTGGTCCTCCCATTCTTCTTGTTCATTCTCCTCTTCTTTCTTTCAATTTCTGAGCGAAATGTTTATTTTCTTCTTTATTCCCTTCAATAAAGAATCACAAACTAAGAATTGCACAATTAGAGAAAAACAAAGATTGCAAACTCGAAACCTAGAATCATAAACTTAAAAATTACGAAGGTTGGAGGAGAACGGCGGGCACTAATGGTGGTGTTAGAGAAGAACTGAGATATAAGGTTGGGGTAGAGAGTTTTGGAGAAGAACAAAGAGAGCGGTGTTGAAGAGATTTCTTTGACGAGAACTAACAGATCTAGCTATTTGATGCAGAGTAGTCGATCGACAGGAATAGCGAGAAATCAAAGATGAACTAAGAGGGAAATTACCAACAACGACAAAATCTAGAAATTGAAGAAGAATAGTTTTATATGAGTAGCTAGGGTGGAGTTGGAAACCACATGTCTTACTATAGATGATATTAATCTCAAGACTAAATTCCAACATCCTATCATCTTTTATGTTTATATATAAGATAAGTACCCCTTGGTGCATTTGAAATTACTAATGTGTGTTGGTGATATATCTAATCTCATATAAACAAACATGGTTGGAAAGAAAAGACCATCAAAACCACGTGTGGATGTGGTAAAGACTAAAGACTAAAGAAGAGGGGAGCTGAGCTAGCAATATATGTTTCTTGGAAGGATCCGCAACCGTCCACACTCCCAAATGTAAATGCTTATGGTGGTCTACGAGGCCGCGTAATTAAGGAAGTCATGATTTAATTTAGGGTGGAATTTTTTCGTTAATGATAGATTAATTGTATTATTGTATCGTTTTCAACCTAAAATTGTCGTTAAGTGTAATGTGTTTCACCATTTCGCGGCTGAGGAGCGTGAGACTCACACTCACGTTTGATTGTGGGAAAGGGTGAAAGGTGGCCTTTTTGACCTTCAACGCACCAAACCAACCAATTGTTGGCTATGTTGAGTCCACGATTGGCCCAAATCATCATAAGACAATCATGACAAAGCTCCGAGTCACTAGCATTGAAAATATGCGTCTCAAAATCAATCATATGGTCAATACTAACTAAAAAACATAGGTATATATCATGATGACACTCAATTTACTTGTCTAGACATCGTTCCAAAGAGATTATAATGCAATACAAATATTAGGGACTAGATACGGTGACAACCCCTAAGGGGGTTGTCAGATTCACAACCAATGGTATTTTGGGTATGGAAAAAAGGAATATATTAATTACCTTTTGTGTATTAATTATATAGGGAATTAAAAATCCATATTAATTATATTGGGAATTAAAAACCCATATTAAATACAATTTTTTTTAAATTTAAATCCTATACATTAATATCTCTATCTCTCTCTCTCTTCCTTTCTCCAGCGGCCACTCCGTATCGACGGACATACTTTTTCTCCGGCGAATTCTCTCCGACAGACTCCCTCCGACAACCTGAAAAAATGTACCAGTGCGTTAAAAAGTGTACCAATCCATTAGTCTACTGGTAATTAATATACCAGTGCTAGTGGTACGCTACCAATGCGTTAAAAAATGTACCAGTACTAGTGGTACGCTACCGGTACAACGCTACCACTACCATTGGTAGCGGTACCAGTAGAGAATAAATGTACCACTAGCACTGGTAGCACTACCACTAGCATTGGTAGCGGTACTAGTAGAGAATAACACAAAAAAACAGATTATAGTGGTACCAGATGATAGTGGTACGCTACCACTATCACTCGTACGCTACCAGAAAAAAAATGGTACCACTAAAAACCCAGATCTAGAAAAGGGGAGTCGGTGACGGGAGAGAGAGGTAGGGGAAGAGGGTGACCTCGCGACGGCGGCAGTGGTGGGGGACGAAGGGCGGAGAGGATGATTGTGCCGCGGAGATGGCGGAGACGAGATGGCGGTTGAAGGTTCGACGGGCGGCTGAAGGCGGAGGGGCGCCGACGCCGGCGGAGGGGCGCCGACGCCGGCGGTGGAGGGCTGTGGCGGCGGAGGGCTCTGCGAGAGAGGGAGGAGAGACAGTGATGGCTACGGGAGAGAGGGAGGAGAGAGGGAGGATGGAGGAGTTAGGGTTTTTTTCTTTTTATATGGTAGGGTGAATGCACTACAAAAAAATCGACTTTTAGCGACGAAACACTGGCGACGACACTATAGTTCGTCGCAAAAGGCCAGGTATCAGCGACGAAATTTCAACTGTCGTCGCAAAATCGTAAAAGTTTCCATGTGTCGATGGCAACACCTATGGCGACGAAAATATATCTCCTATTTCGTCGCAGAAGAGTGATAGTGGTTCAGCGACGACATTTATTACGTCGCAGAAGGTTGAGAGAGGTTTAGCGACGAAATTGTTTCGTCACAACGATAGAGAGTCGTTTGGCGACGATAAATTTGCATCGCAAAAGCTTTAGAGACGTTTAGTGACGACAACTCTTCGTCGCAATAGTTTATAGAGGTTTAGCGACGACCTGTTTCGTCGCTGATTATTTATAATAATATTATAAATGGATTTTTATGAGAGGGAAGCTTCACTTTTTTTTTATGAGAGGTAACCTCACCTTTGTCTCTTTTCCATCTTAAACCCTACCGACCTCAAAACATAACTTATTAATAGTTATCCTCTTATTTTCCGCCGATCTGCCTCCCTCTACTCTCCTTCATCCTTGCCTTCCTTCCATCATAGAGTTTTTGGGTTCTAACAGTGAGGGATTCGGTCACGGAGGAGATCGACAGTGGTCAGGCTTCAATGATGCAGGGGAAGACCGGCCTCCGGAAGAAGAGAGGAGGAGGCGTAGCTAGCTAGCTAGCGGCGAGATCTGGCATGAGTCGGGGTCAGACAGCGCGACGCAGGTGAGATTTTCCTTTGGTTAGTGACAATAACTAGCGCATGTTATGGTAGCTGGTGTTTTTGTACTGTGGGTTTTAGATCCAATTGTTCATCGAGAAAGTTAACGAATTAGGGGAACTGGGAGAATGTCCGGTACTAACATCTGCAATCGTTTGAGGAGCGGCCAAAAGTGATGGTCAAACTCCCCTTCGGTCATGACTAAGAAGGTTAAGTTCTGTGACGAACAAATCAGCTCCATCTCCCCTTCTCTGTTCTCTTCGTGCTGTCGACGGAAAACCAGACACGGGTATGGGGTTTTCCAGAAGTGGATGTTCCTTTCTGGGCATTCACTTATTGATTTTGATCTATTCCCTTATGATTTATGGATTTGGATTTCGATCCTGTTTTGGTTTTTGCGTTGGCTTCTTACTCCAGGGGCTCAATCGAGGAGGAGCTAGAAATGGGAGCCACAGGCGATTTAGACAGATCTGGTTTTTAAGGACCGCTGCAGCTGGCTTTTTATCAGTTAAACTCATCTCTACTTTCTTACCATCTGATTTGGAGTTCTCGTAGATTTATCTAGGATGTTAATGCCGAACGGCATTGATTTGGTCTCCTATCAATTGGAACCTTTGGCTTCCATCTCACCACTTGAATGGAACCTTTTACTGCTTTCGAAAAGCCTTTTTGTGATAGCATAATGGATGTGCTTGCTTGATAAATGTCGTTATCCAGGGACTTGTGTTCTTGCTTCAAATTAAAAAGCCTTTATGGATAGATTGACAAGATTTGGTGATAGTTTATTATACTTGAGTAGCTTGTGGGTCTTGTTTGGGTTATCCAGGGACTTTATCCGTGTTGATTGATGAATTTGGTTTGAATCCTAGGTACTTCATATCTACAAGTAGAATCAAATCTTGAAATTTCATCTGCTTCATAGTTGTTTCTTACTCCTTGAAATCAAATATGTTGCTTTTATAAAATTTGTTATCTGTGGACCATATATTATATGAACTAGCAGTAGCTTTTGATTAGCCTAGGAGACTCATGAAACCTCCTTACTATCCAATGAGAACTAGATGACTATTAAAGCTTCATGTGTATGATGATTATTGCATAGATATGCTCTCTATAATCCTTCTCTTTGATATTTTTATAATAATTCAATTTGCATTCTGCTATCGAGCTACCAGATCAGTAGTTTGGATATGTACTAGTCTTGTGCGTTGTGTATTCTGGTTTGGTAGCAATATTAGTAAGTGAAGTCCACTTATTGATGCCACCGGCCACTTTGCCTCTGCCTCTTGTCCCAATCTATGTGTATGTTCTGCACTTTTCATTTATAGGGTTTCTTATTTCCTTCTCATGAGTATTTGAACTATTAGCATGGTAAAATAAACTAGACTTTTTAATTTTATAGGTACACTTTATAATTAGCCTTGTCGATATGATTTCCCTTTTTTACCCTATAAAACAGGTATCATAACTCAATACAGAAGGATTTGGACGGTGGATCATAACTCAATTCGGAAGGATTGGACGATGGATTGTATATTTTGACGAAGTATAAAATAACGAAGGTCTTGCTTTGGTGACCCTCTTCAAAGATTTGGATATTTTAAGTAAGAACATATACACAGTGACTTGTGAGCATAGCATTTGTAACTTTCATATATTCTTAGTCTATTGTTTTATGTATAGAGCTAGCTATTAATTTGAGCAAAGACTGTAAAGATTAGTAGTACTCTCTGTAATGTATAGTTATGAACTTGATTGTATGTATATTATTAGTTTATTATGAAAAGGCTTCAAGTGTATTTTTGTTTGCAACAACAGGTAATTATT